GAAGGCCTACTTATTTGCTCTTGAACAAGGCTATTTTACATTCAACATCTAGATAAGTTGGGGACTCAAGTCAGATCAATGATGTCACGAGCAAATGAAGAAACTCTTCTTTTCTTACTGTGTGTCCTACTTCTGCCGTAAGGAGATGGAGTCAACAAATCTATTACCTCAATTTCATGAGCAAGACCAGAACTATGGAGTTGATCTTTATCACCAGTTACTTCTGTTGTCAGTAGTTTCCTCCCTCTTGACCATGGTGGTTCAACTTCATCAGCTGCTATGGCATTTGTGAATTGCTTTATTCGTGGTGATTGTATCTCACCAGTACTTATGTCTGTGCTTTCCACAGTCTCGTCCATGGAGATTGTGTTAAGAATTGAGGATGCTGTCCTCACAGGTGAATCAATAAAAATAAAAGGTTCCTTATGATCTATTCCTATATTGGATGTATCCTCTGAATTTCCACTGTCATACTCCCTGAACTGTCCAGATTGTTCGCAAGAAGCCTCGGAACAGCCGTGTAAGTAATGTTCTGAAACAGTAGAAGCTGCTGCATACGCACACGTTTCCTCCACAGTTTCCCCAACATTACTAGCTTCATCGCATTTGTCTAAATCATCCCAATCAGGCAAACATTCCTCTCTCTTCGTATAGCAGGGAAGTTTATCCATTGAGCAAATCTCAACCTTCATCTGCTTTGGCAAGCTTGGGCAACCAGCAGAATGGTTTGTGTATTTTGTTGAGAAATAGTTTACTGCAATGTTCAGGCTGATAAAAACCAAATGTTAACACATGTTGGCCAACCAACCACCAAGTTAAAACTAAAGCAAGCAGAATTATTTGGATGTAAGACAGAAAGCATACTTGTGCCATTCTGGTAGGGTGAGCATTGTATATGCAAGTTTAATCTTGTTGGCAACTCCAGAGAAAGATTTGAAAGATGCAGCTGCTTGCCTCACTGCAACTGATTCTTTTGGGTGCTGCCAGGCCCACTCAAACTGCAAGCACCAGAGCAGTGAACTTTAATACATCAGCATTCAACACAACAGGGGAGATAATTAGATATATAAGGTATATATGTCATTATTATTATTATAATAAGACCAGATAAGCTTAGAAGTAGCATCAAGCAAATGTAAGTTTTGGTTGAATCCCTCAAGATCAGCAAGGAAGTACTTTATATCTTCTAATGATTATCACATTTCAACACATAATAAACAAAACTACTTAAAGATGCAACCTTTAACGTCAAAGAAGAGCGAAATGATTGAAGAAGAGAAAACATATGACCTGAAGAGCAGAAACGTTTGTTGGGAAACCATAAATGCATAAAACCATCTCCCATGGTCGCCTGCTCTTTGTCCTCCATGCCCCACTCCCAATCTCACCATTATGCTGCCTTATTCTACGACGAGGATTCACAGTAAATCTGCAAGTGAATTTATAGTGAGTGACAGATCCATTTGATTTGATCCCTTAAAATTGGAACTAGAAGACAAAGACCGAACAAGAGTTGGCAGAGAAGAGTACAAACCCGATGTAGGTGTGGCCTTTGTGGCGTGGGCTAAGAGAGGTTAAGAGATAGCAGGCGAAGAACCCTTTTCCGTCTCCGGCGTCCGCCTTTTCTTCTTCAACATTCTGGATTTTTGCTTCCTGACTTTTCAATTTTCTCTGTTTGAAAATGTTTGCAAGGGATTTTGAGTTTTCGGGGTTTAGGGTTTCTCCCTTTCCCTGTTTCATTTCTCTCTCAAAGGGGAATTGGGGATTTGATGTACAGTTCGACCGTTGGAGACCTTAGATAAAATCTATACTGCCTAGTTCCATCCAAAAAAATATTCTATACTACCTAGTGACAAATATAAGAAGAATATAAAGCGAATATTTAAATTAATTTATTTTATGTTTTTTAAGGATGACAAAAAATATGACGTCCTTATATGAAAAAATTTAAATATTTTTTATAAATTAATATATAAAAAATATTTATTAAAATTATTTAAATAATTTTACAAATAATTTTAATATTTTAAATGTCCAAATGTTATAATTTTTGCTTCTCTCATATTTTAATTAATATATATGAAGTTGCAATTTTAACAAAATACGACTTAAAAGAGGTCCATTTTCCTTTTAAAAAAATTATTAAGTTAGTAAGGCCAGTGGAAGGAAAGAACGTTATTATTTATTTTAGATAGTTTAAAATTAAAATTAAAATGATCAATGATTCAAATAATTTAATGATAATTTCATTTTATTAAAAATAAAAAATTGTGAATTCGAATCGTATGACATACAAGTGAGGTGGGATAAGATATGAGAGAGGGTCATCTCTTGTTGTACAACCAACATAAAAAAAAAAATTAACATAAGAAAAGAAAAGAAAAGGAAAGAAAATGAATTGATAGAAAAAGAATGTTTAGTAAAATTTAAAAAGCAATTACTTAAAAAAGAAAACTCTTTTATAACAAAATTAAAATATTATTAGAAAAAATTTAAAAATTGACATTTAAAATAACTTTTAAACAAAATTTGAAAAAAATTAAATGTATATCTTTTTTAAAATTTACTTTAAAACTACTTAAAAATTAATTTTTGAATTTTTCTCCCCTTCAACCTTTTTTTCTAATCCAAATAAAGAATGGTTTCTCATCTCTTCTACTTCAACCCAAACAGGATGTTAGTAAATCAGGATTTAAATTGGCTTTGTGGTTGTGGAAGCACCGTGAGTGGGAAAGTAGCAGTTGAAGAGAGATACAAGAAAGAAAGAGAGCTTCAGCGCCCCCGGCTTCACTTCACTCAAAATCAACTCTCTCTCTCTGGGTATACCCGGCAATGGAAGGGTATTTTCAAGAAACAGAGTTATCAACTGAGAATTTGCTAGAAAGGGACAATTTCAGAAAATGTTAAAGAGATAGGGAAACAAAAATATAGGGAACAAACTGAGAGACAACATGGTCCAAACCCAGCCTCAGGTCTCAAAAGCATCCAGAAGCTCATGTTGCTACCTCAAACCAAAACAACAGAACGCCAGAACCAAAAAGGGCTACCTAACACCTCCATTTCCAAAAGTCCGAGCGATCACTCCCTTGGATTCAACCAGAGCTGACCGTGATCATTGAAGAGCCCCCATTATCGCCCCTGCTACTGCTACATGGAAATGCTGCCATAGTTGCATCAATATATCGAGCACTGCCAAATCCTGCCATCACACACTAAGACAGAAACCAAGGAAGACTAGGTTTTTGGGAGGCTGAGCAATCAATCTTGATCTTATACCATGGAGGTTAATAGGAGGTAGGCATTTAACAACACAAAAAGGTCCAGGTGATGTTGGTATTATAAAAATAGAGTTACAAGGCTCATGGTTTGTATGGACAAAAAGCCAGCCACTAATTTGACATATATGTTGCAACATCACTATCTTGAAATTTCTTAATTGAAGCCAAATTTTGGGTCAGATACTCCATTCATGACTTGGCCGGGTTCATTTTGAGGGTTTCTTAAACAAGAAATTAGGAGGCAAACAAGAGGTACAAGGGAGATTATGAGCTATCAACAGACCAGAGACTAGACTTACTGGAAATAACAAGTTATAAATTTCAGAATGAAAGATCATTGAACAACATGCATTGATATATACTCTAAATCCAAAATACATAATCAAAATCAACATAGAATCGAACCTCACAGCCAATCAACGCAGCGGCTGGAGGAAAATTACAAAAGCCAGAGCATCTTTACCGAGTTGTATTGCAAGAAATTTGAAATCTTAGATCAAAATCCATGTACTGTATTTTTCTTTCAGTGTTGACCAATTAAATATCTGAATACACAAATCTTATAATTCCGTGGAAGGAAGAAATGAGTTCCAATACTCTAGACCACATTGTATATGAAAATATGGATTAGAACAAGTCATCAACAACAACAACACACCTGAAACGGTGCAAATTAAGACAGGCATCAAGTTGAATGGTTTTTGGAAGAAACCAGATGCCTCCACAAGTAGCGACCGCTGGCCATGTCCGCACAGGTCCAAAATCCCGACTGTATAGCCGCTCGAACCTGGCCAAAGGAAAAGGATATTTTCAGTTTAACGAAATGGAGAGATGAAAGAGGGAAAAGCAAAAGGGGGAAACCTTGGAGAATCGGGAGGAGGAGTTGTGGTCGTCGGCGTTGGTGGATTCGTCCTCTGTGTCAACTGGGGGCCGAGATTTGAGGTTTCTGACGAGGAAAAACCCGGCGAGTGTGGCGGAGAGGAAGATCAGGATCAGCCTCAGCGGACACATTTCTCGGATCGCTCTGGAATTAGGTGTAGCATCCAGAAATTGAAAAACAGATTATTTGGGTGCAGATGAAGTCTGCTGACCTTTTCTTCATTGCCTTATCCACTTATGACTGAAGTTTAAATTAAAAGTAACAGAGTTGACGTGCCACCTAAGCACTGTGGTCGACGGAATGGTAAATTGGCGTGGAAAAAATAACCTTTAAGGATGAATTTGATCATTTGAAAGTTTAGGGACAAACTCGGTCTAAAACTAAAAGTTGAGGGACTAAATTAGATATTGAACTCTTTTTTTTTTCCTTTTTTTTTTTTTTTGTGTTGGGGGGAAGAGTATTTAACCATTTGATGATTTGATTCCTTCACAATTTCATGATAGAGATAACAAAGCGGAGCGATAATAATATACTCTTAATAAATTATGAAAATTTATCCACAAATTCTCTTTTAATCCTTACCAAACATTATAATAGGATAGGTTATACTCTAATAAGGAAAATAAGAGTTAACAGTATCATACTAAGAAATACTAACTATTTAGTGTATATCATTTAGTTTCTATTTGATTTGAGAAAAATGGAGAGAAAAAAGAAGAGAAGATTTTCTTCTATTTCCTTCCCTCCTCTCCCCTTTTTCGATTTCATTAAAATACAAAATAACAGAAGGAAAACGAGGGAAAACGAGGGAAAACTTCTCTCCTCCTTTTAAACTAAACAAGTTATTAGTAAATGAGAGTTAAACTGAAATAATTAAAATTTAGTTTCATGGTGTTGGAAGAAAATTAGTGACAACAAGAAATAGTTACTTCTAACATGCCGTGCCTTCCCATTGGTTCAAAGATTTAACCAAAGAATAGTAATTCCTCATATCAAACATATCCTATTGGTTTTCTATTTTCTTTGAAAACATTTTTCAGCTTATCTTCCACCACAGCACAATAGTGGAATTTGATTGGAGATTGATACCATGACCTGAATCCCACAACTAAGCTCGTATTATTTTCGTAAAAAATTCGCTGGCATTTCAATTTTTAGGTACTGATAATGACTTACAACAACCCTAATGAGTTTCAAACCTCCTCTTCTTGTTCACACCACAATGAAAACCAAAAAATACAGCGCATCCCTCCAAGGTTTCTCATTTCTGATCTCAACTAATAATTTCCTACAAAAAATTAAATGGTAACAGAACATCCTCCAGCTGATTAAAATAAGAATGAAAGGCCACTGGCAAACAAACTTAACAGCATAATTATACCTGCAGTATAGTAGTCCCCAACATGCAAGAGAATGTCAACAACCAATTTAGAACAAAGAAAGTAATGATTTGAGGCGCTGCAATTTATTATTAGTTTTGCTTTTGAAAAGCAAAATTTAACATCCATGTAAACATTTAATTTTAGTAATGCAATGCTATGAAAGGACAAAACCATCTACCTTACAAAGAATTAAAGCTTAGCAAAACGAGCAATCTTAGCCAGCACAGTTCTTAAACTCTGGATGCCAGCCCCAGACTTTGAGCTCACCATCATCTGAGATAAAAAGGAACATTCATTACAAAGGTAGCTACTTATAATAATTCAGCAAATCACTACGTTCTCCATACCACAGGTTGAACAACAGACTTGTTTGCCTTGAGGTTCTGCAAAATAAACCAGTGGTGTTCAGAGATTTGTTAGCCTCACAAAAAAGCACCCAATTTTGCAATGAAGGTAGTTCTAAGCATATAAAATCACCTCTTCAATTTGTGTTGCACGACGTGCCACATCAATAGGAAATACCATGTCAGTTTTAGTTAATACAATCTGGTACTTAGTTTGATATCTGTAAATAATAAAAATGAACAATAAAGATCATCAAATTGCAGGCATGCAATACCTCTAGTGCAATTTTCAGATAAAATGATCAATTTAAGCCAGCACCCAACACATTGAAAATGCTCAAAGGAATAAATTAGGAAGCCCATAATTTTACCTTTCCATTAAATCAATCAGTTCATGATCTCTTGGCTTCATACCCCATTTTGTGTCAATAAGAAGGCAAACTCGTTTTAGACCAACCCTGGTGGAAACATACTCCTTCACCTGCAAAGTTTAATAATTAGGCAGGAGTCAATTGGTATATTCAGTTACGCAACTTTTAGCACTCAATTCACATTTAACTATGAACACAAGATAAACAAGAATATGAAACAAGAAACTTGTCAAGCAAGTTTAAAAGTAAAGGCTTCTGCAAGATACTACCATTCAAATCCAAACTATTTTGTATTGCAGCTGCAGCACAAAGAATGGAATAATGACCCTATTGGGGTTGGCTCAAAGGGTAAGGAGTGATGCAAACCATGCTAGAAAAACAGGTTTGAATCCCTCCATTGCCATTTGGGTGCAAACAATTACAACAGGCCATGCCCTCCACCTAATGGTGGAGACTTACACAGTGCATAGGCTGTGTATGGGGCAATTTGCAAGTACTCGTGGGACTAGCTGAGCCTAGTTGAGCCAAAAGGTCGGAATACCTATGCTATATATATATATATAAAGAATAGAATCAAGCATGATATACTCACAAGCTCCTCCCATGCCTCCTTTACTTCTTCCTTTGCATAAGCAAAGCCATACCCAGGCAGATCAACCGGGCAGAGCTTTGATCCTAGCTTGAAGAAATTAATAGTCTGAAAAAGAATTGTTTTAGTTAGTTAAATTCTAAAGAGCAAGTCATTCTGGTTTCTAAAGAATCTTAGAAGACCTGGGTATGGCCTGGTTTGTCTGATGTCCGCACAACACCCCATTGTCTTGTGAGTGCATTAAGCAGTGATGACTTTCCAACATTTGACCTCCCTAACAAGGTGAATAAGATTCACTAATAATTTCACCAAAATATTATCTAACAAACGTAAACACATGTGAATGTAAGCTTATAAAAGCTATCAATACAGTCTTTTAAGAAACAGATGCTAAAAAGGAAGTTACTTATTTCTTTAAAAAGAAAACTGGATTATCAAACAAATCAGAATTTTATCCTTTTTAATCAAGACGAAACTTTTTATCTTAATCTATAACAGAAATATTTCAAAAGAATTGCCTATCAAATTGAGAAGACAATTTGCTAGTCTCTAAAAACACTTATATAAACACAATCCAACAGCTTATATATATTTGAGCTATCTACCAGCAAATGCAATCTCTGGAATATCAGGAGGTGGGAATGATGATGAAACCTTTGCAGCAGCGAAAAAAGTCAACTTATTCCTGAATATCTGCAAAAACGTAGTTGGCACCACTACCAATACTGACTACAATCAAAAGTAACTGAAACAGAGTATATGAAAAAGGGTTTTAGCCATGTCAAACATACATTTTCTTCAATACGTTCTCTTTCAGAGCTTGTAGAAAAAGCAACATTATCCAATGGAGCATAAAGCTCAGTATTGTAGCCTGCTCGTTGTAGCTCAATTGATCGTCTACGTCCCAAGAGCTGGAAAGAAAATTATCAAGAATCATACTAATAAAGTAAATAGAGATGGATGGGAAAATATAACAATATTGACCAAAAATCACAAGGCTTTGCTCATAGAAATTACATTATCTTCCACAAAGGAAAGTATTGAGGGACTGGGTTGTATTGCTCGGAACTGTGCATTCTTTGAAATTTCAGCATCTTTTTCCAAATCATTTTTTTTCTCTTTGGTATTTTCTGCAAAGCAAATGAGAAAGAGCAGTAACAATGAGACAGGGCATTCACTCTTAAAGATATACCAAGGAAGGAAAAGGGGCAGAAGAATGGATGTATCCTTCCACATCTCAGTAAAAAGTAATGGTGCATTGTATAAAGAAAGTTGATTCCTAGAGTCTCTGACAATTGAATGCTACACGGTACCTCCCAGTGTTACAAACTCATTAGCCAAAAATTTTATATACAATTTCCCCTTCTCTATGTTTTTTTTATCATGAATACAATAATACAAGGATTCAAGCCGCAATTTATTTATTTTAAAATATGAAGAGAGTTATTAATTACATAATGTTTGATCAAGACAATGAAAAAATAACAAGATAAGATGAGAAAGCAAATAGCCAAATGCCTCACAAACAGGAAAAAAGAAATGGATAGAAACTGACCATTAATAGACATCCCATCATCCAATCGCTTGTTTGAAATATCATATGGATCTAACCTTATAACTCTCTTCCTCTTCTTTGGCTGATCATCAAGGATTTCTGAATCACCAACCAGGGTTTTCTTGGCTGAAAGCAAAGGAGATGCATTTGGACTCTGGTCCATGCGCTTTCTTGAATTTGATATGTTTTTGACATGTTTCTTCAATGAACCTTTTGCACCAACATCTGTTTTATATAACTGCTTCGAATTGGTTCTCAATTTACCATGGCTTTCTTGTGTACTTTTGACCACATTCTTAAGTTTAAGAGAAGTAGCTTTATTGGTAGAGCCAATGTCCTCTGGTCCATTAGAAACCCACATTGAACGAATAGATTTGTCATTTCTTTTCCGTTGATCCTGTCCTTTCCTGGATGATAAAGCCTTTCTATAGGGTGCACCTGTGGCATCATGTGCACTGCCATCCATGGCTGCAAAAACTCTCTTCCTTCTCCTGTCAGAAACTGTTTTACATTCTGAGCTTGATTTGGAGTTCCTCTTATCACCATTCTGTATCTTGTGAGGCTTACCATTTAGAACACTTAAATAATCCTTTTCAATCCCTTGCTTGGAATTCTTGGATTTCCCAATTGCCACTTTGAGTTTCTTGTCCAACTTTTGCCTAAACTTTGCCTCTTCAGACATTCTTTGCCCCCTAACCACAATACCTAATTTCTAGAAGTGGAAAACGATTAAGCAGTCCCCAAGCACAGTAGAGCTAATTTGCAGAAGAAGAAATGAACACAAATTCATTTTGCAGTAAACTAAGGAGATTGAAGGCCAAAAAAAAAAAAAATAATAATAATAAACTAAGGAGATTGCTGAAGCAAAACAGGGAAGCATTATGATAAGCAGAAAGAAAAAAAAAATACCGGAAGTTAACACCTGTCCACAAGCTGAGACGTCGCCGTCGCCGTCGCCGTCTCCGACTTCTGCCCTACTCTAACTCGGATGAGAAGGATGAGTGCTTGTGATTTCGGGCCGGAGTTTGTATGTAGTATGTATTACTTATGTGACCCAAATAAAATAAAAATAAAATCAATCATCCTCGCCTTCAGGCCCGTCCGCTGTGCTACTTGTATGTGGGTCATTTGGCCCATTTTTGCTATTTTGGACTGATTGGCATCTGAGATTCTGTATATATATATAATTTTTTCACAGGGCTATAGCCGTCTTTTTATTCTATCTTCATTCCCACTCATTCCAAAGGAATACAATTAATATGTTTATTCTTTAATTATTTATATTTATTTAACAGATTTTTTTAAAATATGTGTTTTAAAATATATGAGTATTTTTTTATCATAAATATATATAAAATATAAAAATTAATATTAATTTTAATATTAAGATTAAGTAAATAAATTTAATTAAAAAATTAAAAATTAATTTTTATTTTTTGATTTAAATTTATAATAAAAGTTATATTGAGCATATATTAAAAAAATTTCTTCAAATTATTTTAAAAGAACAAAACAAAAAATACCACCACCAAGCCGAGAATGACTTGTTGACGAGCTCAGTACTACCTTGAACTGGCCCTTAACACTGACTTTTTTTTAATTAATTTTTTAATATTCAATAATCATAATAGATCTCAATTAATTTAAAATTAAATTAAATTAAATTTTATTAAAAAACAACTTACTAACGATTTTTTTTATTCACACTATTAAAACTTAAAATTTTATTTAAAAAACTTTAATCAACATATAATTAATCTCTAATATTGATTTTGAAATCTGCTTTTGAGACCCTGGACGGTAGGAAGCCCCACCTTTGAGGCTTGCATCATTGTAATGTGATCATTCCTCGCAAAACTCCATTAAGTTTACAGCTGTCCAAAATATTTATAGGACAGCTTGAATGATTAACACATCACAGTGGGTATTCAACCCCCCCCAAAAAAAACAAGGAAAATCAGACTTAGGCGGCTGATCTGTCCAGCATTATTACAGTTGGCTTTTGTGACACATATGACAGCAGCAACGTCCCATATCAAAACAAAAGTCGTTCATCCAGAAAATGTTCATGGTTAGGTAGTACTTTTTCCTTAAGGGTTAAGAAATTTTTGGCTTCATTTATATGTATTTTAAAATTATTTTTTGAGTAGTACTTCAAAAGATAAATCTTAATCTTATAACAATATATACAAAGACAATATTTTACTTAAATCGTGGATCAACTTTTGGTGTTCATACTATGATATATATTTTTTAAATATACATCAAACATATATATAAGAAAACACACACATATATGTGAACAAGATTTATAATTAGCACTAAGTTAGCTCAAGTGATAAATATAGATACAAACTATATTTAAAAATGTAGTTTAAAATTTTTTTTATTGTTATTTAAATATAAAAAATCTTAATAGACTATATTTATTATCCTTAAACTTTTTTTTGAATCGAAATAGTCAGAATAGAAGAATAGGAGAGAGAGAAGGGAATGTCTCCCATTCTATCTATTTTGGTAAACTTAATGAAT